GGCACCATACGGCGGCAGTGGATTGTGAGTCTACGCCTCTCACCATAGCGCCTTCAATTTTGCAGACGCAACGCGGGCATCCATCAAGCACGAATAGTTGTATCTCTGCGCCGTTGTCAGTAACGCGCGTCCTTTCCCTTACTCTGTTTCCGCGCTGTGTTTGCCCCATTAGACTTATTGATAGTAGTGCTGCAAGGGCTACATGTGAGTAACATAGCCGAAGATAAATCGATGTAATTGACAAAAATATCGTGATAATTATAAAAGACTTCACGGAAAAAATGGATTGCTGATTTTATAAGAATTAAATTGTTCAAAAATATGTCCGACATGTTTCAAATGTACATTTACAACAGCGGGAAGCTACGTTAAGCACGGGGGTGGTTAAATTAGCATTTTTATTGTAAAATCTGCATTAAAACATGTCTGGCACTTTTTTTAACTACAAAATTGTTAAATCAGCAATTTGATTTTTTTCGTGTTTTCGCACCTCTGAAGATCATTTTAACAATATGACGATGTTTCATGTTTTTAAGTGGGATTTAAAGACGACGATGTGCACTCATCCGAAGATCATCCTCATTTTTTTTCCTTAGCTTAAAATTTTAATCAATGAAAAATACAAATCAATAATTTATCGGTATAAAAAAAAATTAAAGTACGCGAGATCATGGGTGTAGAGAAGGACATCGTGCACGATATCAGGTCCAAGCAGTTGGTCTGGTATGGACATGTGCGAAGGATGGCAGACGACCGGTTGCCCAAGCAGGTCTTCGATTGGGTTCCTCCCGGAAGGCGACGGCGTGGACGTCCTGTGAAAGGTTGGCGACAAGGGGTGGAGGAGGAGATCAGAAGGTGCCAATTGCCTGATGGTCTCTGGGAGGATAGGGGGCAATGGCGATTGGGCGTCGCAGAGCGCGAGGCGGCGCTATAAAAGCGACTTTATGTATGTGTAAAAAAAAATTAGGTGTATCTCCTGAATTTATCAAAGATCCATCCTCAAAACTTGAACCAGTTCCTCGAAAAAAATGTTCTCTCTTTTTTTCTCTCGAAAAAATTTCCTTCTCTTGTTTTAAATGTCGAAACCAGTCCTTGTTGTCACGCAGCACTTTCCGATGTCCAAATTGAAAATTTTCGATTCATATGCCGATGAGAACTAATTTCTGAAAATCACCAATATTATTTCCCCGCTCACGCTATGGAATGAGTCGCTGTTTCAAACGCTCGTCTATCAGACTGCAACATGCTGGATCGGGAAAAAATGAACCGAAACTAATTAATCAGGCATCCCAATCAGCAGAACCATAAATATAGCGGAACGCTACACTTCTTCAAACTTCAACGTCGCAAAAAATTGCTAATCGAATGGAGTTAAAAGCTTTATTCACGATCAATTTTTTTCCCATGTCAAGGGAATTATAACATGATATCAGCATTGAAGAAAAACCCGCTATATATGAGGCAAAAAAAATTGCATGGAGCAGAAAGGAACCAAATCTCATCAGCCATTGCCAAATTTCATGAAAAAATATATATTCTTTTTGCAGGAGAACGTTCAAAACATTCTTTTGAAAATTTCAGGAAAATTGCCTCACATCACGGAGAAAATTCTCTAAAGTGTTCAAAATTATCTACCCTACCTCATTCTCATGAAAAAAATGAATTGTCCGATGAAATTTGGCAATGGCTGATGTAACTTGGTCCCACTTTGCATAATTCGGTCCAAATATCAGCGTCTCTTCGAAATTTATCTTCATTTGTGTTGCTGTTGAAGAGTAAAAGTTACGCAGGATGAGAATGGATTTCAACCGTATGCATTGCAAATTTTGTGGATAACTGATGTCTGATGAAGTTGAACAAATTTAAACCGAGGATATAAATTTAGTCGGTGCATGGAAGACGCAGTTTAGTGCCTCATTGTGAAAATAACTTAAAACGAGCCGACAGTAATGTCCTCAGTGATGTATTTTTCCGTGTCTGGCAAATAACCATTTCTCATTCGCCTCTGTCTTTTAATAAAATGACTAATAAATGTCCTTTTTTTATAAGTTTTCATTTGAATTGGTTAATATTGAAAAAACATATCGATGGTGAAATTGTAGAAACGCGTATTTGGGTTGCGGTGTTGCAAAGTCTCTGCTCCTATTTTATTAATTTAAAAAGAAAACCGAGTCAAAAAGGAGGTTTGAAATTGGTACAGCATATTCTTCACGTATGGGGAAGGAAGCTCATCGAAGTTTTCAAGGGACGACGTTGAGAAATTACGATGAGGAATTTGAAGTATGAGAGAAAGTCCATGCAGCGCCGCAAACGGAGATACGAATTCCTGCAGCTCTGTCGTCGAAAGTTTATTATCCGAAAAATTTTACAATATGGTAATTTTGTGAACCTTAGGGCTTTAAAAAAATCACTATGCCTATCAATTTCTACAACAGGTGTCCTTAATTCAAATGCAAGTCTTGTGCAGATGACCAGCATGTGAGGGAGCATTTAGTCCCTGAACATTTTATAAAAAGAAAAGAAAATAATAATTATAAACATAAAAAAATTTAAACATTTAAAACTGCAGTGACAGGCACTAACCAAATACCATGAAATGTGGTTCATAATGGCGCGGCGGTCAATGTTGCGCGGCATGTTGCAGACTTCTTGTCACATTTCATTTTGGTGACGGCTCCTGATCTTGGATAAATTATCGCGTGCATTTTTACGCTCTTTGAAAATGTTCTTTGAAATAAACGTCGCACAACAATGTCTAGTAATCCTCCTTGAACAGATAAAATGGGAGTAGAAATCTTGAAACATTGCAATCGAGATAATTTTTTCGTTCTTTCATTGTCATTAAGTAACTGATAAATGTTTTCCTAATGATGCATTTTACTTCCTCTTTATTTAGACGTGCGTCTGCAAAACGAAACTATATGCAATAAGACATGAGCCCTGAGACTCAGAGGAATACATGCATAACAAGGCTCATGTCGTAATGCACATAGTTCCGTTTGGTAGAAATGCGTCCATTTCAAGTGTACGGACCATGGAGGCACGTTAAATCGATTTGTCTCTGGAGGAGATATGCAAAGACGATCTGATACATTTTAATTCGATAAAAACCCAAATAAATAAGTAAAGTAAAATGAAAATAAGTAACGAAAACGGAAACGAATGCAGGCAAATACATTATACCTCTGGTCTGCCTTGGTGATCCATTATTCAGCTCACGAACATGAGAAAAGCGCGAAAACGACTTGATACATTTTTTTTAAACGATCTTGATGTAGAAACTAAAACAAGATTTGAGTTCTAAGATTTTTTATTTTTCATGAACATTTAACCACAGCTAAACGATTTCAACGAGAGACAGATTTCAGCAGAAAAAAACAGTTATGTACATTGTATACCGAGTCTTTTTTAACTGTGCAACAAAAAAGAAGCTATGAATTAAAGTTTGACATCATGAATTCCAATACGATAGTATATAACAGGATCTTATCTCAAAGGATTTTAATGAAGAGATTTCACGAGCTGATTTCTTTTGTACCACAGGTTCAATTGATTAATAATTTAACAGGAGTTGCCAGGAATTAAAATTTAAAAAGTGTACTTAAAAAATATAGGTCCAAACATTTTCACATTATATCGAACAATTTTAAGCCTTCGGCCCTCAAGAGTATACTCAATACGTACTATTTCAAGAAATTCCTTATAAAGAAGGTTTTTTTTTTTTTTTTTTTTTAATTTTGTGGAATAATCTGTAAAATCAATCCAACTATTTGTCGACTTTCTTCGTCAATACATGTAGCCATACAAAAAGCATCATGTGGTGTACCTTGCGCTTTATAATCGAGTCGTAGCTAGCACAAAGAGTAAACAACATCACTCTTAAAAATCCATCCAGACCTCATTAACGTCGAGAAAATTATACCCGTTCAATCCTGGCTCCTAGTTTTGATCTTTGGTGCTTGAAACTCACTCTAGAGAGAGAAATTTCACAAGAGTAACAATTAAGGCCTTCCAGAATTTTCTTTCGTCAATTTGAGAGATGTTTTCAAAATGCTAAACATTCCTGGGGGTAGGTAGGTATCATCAGTATCGCTGTGATGCATAAGTTTTGACGTAAACTTACGTTGCTTTGATAGATGGACCTATTAACTGATGATTATTGCTGTTGCGTTCTTCTCAGGCACAATAATTTTTTTTTTTTACATTCAGACGTTAAATTAAACCTAGTCTATGAGAATAATGCAATGAACCACCAGCCAAGGTGCTCATTCAAGAGGTAGGTATGGTGCATGTTTTTTCTTCAAAATTTCACGTAGAATACGACTTATACAATGAAAATTACTCAGACCAACTTCTAACAAATATAATAACATTTTACGAAACATTTACACTTCTCATTCATAGAAAAAAAGTGAAAAAAAAACACAATAATTTACTTGAGTTGAATCGCACTCAAACACAATTGTATAACAGTCTTTGCAGCATGGAAAATGACAAACTCATTATTGGCGCTTCGGTTCAGCTATTGCTAGTTGTTTACATTTCGGTGAACACACATTTTTTTAAAAGAACAAAACACCGATGAAAATTTGCAAAATTACAACTCAGAGGAAAGATTCAATTTATGTAAAGCGAAAATGCGTAGTTAAGATTCGTAATAGTATGCCAGGGTTAAAATCACAGAATCCCTTATCCGTGACTTTAGATCTTTTGCAGTTACAAATCATTGTAATTCATTATAAGGATCTATCTTCAAAGTCAAACCGATGAATTTTCTTCTAGTCTCGTGAGAATTGCTACATTAAAGACCTTTGCGAACCTTCCTTAATCACAGTGTTCATATGGCCTCCCCAAAGGAGAGGAACCGTCTCAGGGGCGACTATGGATACGACCCTCCCTGCCCATGGTCGGAACTGGTATGGAGCCGGGAAGCCTCCTCCCCCCCCCCCCCCNGGCTCCCGGATATCTACTTGGCCTCTCCCAATAAATTTAAGAAATTGTTCTAAACTAGTGTGTGATATATTTTTCACCTTTGACATTTTTATTCGATCAATTTGTAGGTAAAAAAGACATAGGGAGTATGGAGCAATCCTATTGATTGAAATGGGCGGTTCCAATAGACTGAGGAAGACATTTTTCGAGTAGTATCCACTTATTCAGTGTCTTTTCCATTACTTTTTATCTTTTTTGCGACAGGTTAAAGAGTGGGCTTCGTTGGTGCTTTGGTGGTGAGGTCCTCCGGGAAGGGAAGGTCGGTAAAGTCGTTGTCGGAGTCGTTTTTGAAGACCTTGTACTTCTCTCCGTGCCACATCTGCTCGCAGTCGATGACACCCAGGTTCACCGCCGTCGGTCCGGTCAGGTCGTAGTCCGCCGCGAACTTCCGCGCCGTGAAGTTCAAGTGATGCCATCGCTCCACCAATTGCCTGCAGACACAAAAAAAGGTTTCCTGCCGTCATCGCGAAGAGAGCAGTAAGTGGAAAGCTTAAGTTTTGGGCAAACGGGCTCAAAAGCGTCTGATCGGAAAAGAGCCTCCCAAAAAAAGGGCCTTTCTTGGCCCCTTTTCTGAAACTCGGGGATTTCATTCAAATGTGGCCTAAACGAAACCTTATGATGACCTAAGACTCCAGTAAAAATTTTAGCTTGAGTATACGTCTGGTTTCGGAGATACAGCGTTGCAAAGTTCGCATATTTAAGCTTTAAAAATCTTCATAGTTTCAAATATTATCTTCCTAAAACCAACATCAGAGTGAACTTTACATTCTAAAACAAAGCGTTAATGAAGCATAATGATAAAAAAAGCCTCCATCAAAAGTTTTAGCTCATGCATGACCCCTGTTTTGGTAGTGCAACGTTGCAAGTTTACCTTTCTGAGCTTTAAAAATGCTCATATTTTTAAGTTTCTTGTTTAAAAACCAATTTTAGTGAATATCAAACTGCGTTTTGAGGGATAAAATTAACCCCTAGTGATACTTTTGGATGCATAATTGCATTGATAAAAGGCTACAATGATTTAAAGTAACACAGCGTTGCACAGTTTACATCCTAAATCTCTAAAAATGTCTTTTCTCTTGTTTTCTTATGAGAGACAACTCCGATCAAACATGTTTCGATATTGTAAAGTGAAATACAATGAATCTTGTTAGTTCTAAGTGACAGTTGGTGTAAAAAATGACACTGTTGTCTGTTTATCTTTTTTTTATCTCAACATTTAATCATAAAATAACATTAAAATTAGGATACTTCCAATAATTATCTAATTTCAAAATCAAATTCAAGAGACTTTGCCATGCTCGATGAAATGCTTGCAGCACCAGCATTGCTTTCAAAATCCAACAAATTATGCCTCGCCATAGTTGCCAATTTAACCGTTTTTTAAGTAAAATGAAAAAAATAAACATAGAATACAGAATTTGCCGAGTTGTTTTAAGTATAAATAAATATTGATCTAGAGAATACATTTATTATGCCTTGCAAAATAGAGTACCTCCACTGTTTTTTTAAAAAAAAGGAAAAAATGAAAAATATTGAAAAAACTTGAAAAAATTAAAAATATTGTAAAAAATTGAAAAAATAAAAAAAATCAAATAAGATTAAAAATATTGAAAAAAATTGAAAAAATTAATAAAATCAAATAAAAATTAAACAGGAAAATAATATTTAATAAAAAAACAAAATTAAGTATCAAGTATTGGAGGCATCTTTATTTTAAAATAATTTTATTATTAATTGTTTGAAAATAAGTATTAATAAACTTAGCAATAGTATTTTTGCGAATACCAATCGTCACTTGGAACTGACATCAGCCCTCGACATTTTTCCTTGATATAAGGCCTGACACCCATTGACGTCCTCTTTAACTAGCATAAATAATAATTTCGAGAGTTTAAAGTTGTTAGCTTGGCAACGCTGTATCACCACCAATTAAAGTATCCCTATTTAAGCTACAAATGACACATTTGGTAGATTTCATGCTTCAAATTCTAAAGAAGATCCACGAAAGTAGCTTTTTAAACGCGGGACTTAGAAATATAAACATTTTTAAAGCTCAAATGTATAAACTTAGCAACGCTGTATCATTAAATCTGTACTTATGCTTGCGGTAAGGCCTATACAAAAGACTTATCATATTATAAAGTTACATCTAAACACCATACACAGATCTTTTGGTGATCAATAAGTTCGTTTTTTCATTCAGAAACTTACAAAAATGAGCAATTTTTATAGGTCTTTGGTGTCAACTTTGCAACGTTGTATCAAGAGAATCAGCAGTATCACCGTATCAATAGGAATATAGATGTAAAGATAAGACTGACTGTAGGTAAAATGTCACAAAATAACAGATTATATCTGATAGAGTTGATTTTTAAAGTAAGATATTTGAAAATATGCGAATTTTTAAAGCTTAAATATGCAAACTTTGCAACGCTGTATCTTGGAAACCAGACGTATACTCAAGCTAAAATTTTTACTGGAGGCTTGTCTCATCATAAGGTTTCATTTAAGCCGCATACGAATGAAATCCCCGAGTTTCAAAAAAGGGGCCACTTTTTGGGAGGCTCTTTCATTGAAAGAGGCCTCCCTCCGTTCTTTGTCAGATTGCCACTAATCATCCAAAAGACTCCTCGAAATCGTTTGGATGATTAGAAATTAACCGATTTTATTTCAATTACATTGAAAGGGTATTACTCATTTTCATGTTAGGCTAGAATTAGGCAAGACAACCGTAAGTGCTATATCTCTTGCATGCTTTCGTGGTTGCGTTCTTGAAAGCGCTGTTTTCATTGGCTCTCTGAAGGAATAATGCCACTCACTGCTGTCTTGCCTGAAACGATACGTCATTTTTTGCGCACTTATTGCTTTCTCATATGTCTTGTTTTCTTCCAATCGAGATGCATTTTGCTGTTTTAGCTATTTCAGTGATTTCATCTGAGAAAGATTGGATGTATTTTGAAGGAAACGCGCTTTCGAAAATGTGACACTTACTGCTCTCCTCGCTACCACGGCAGAACATATTACTCACAGTGGCGTGGCGTGCTTTGCGACACATCGATTGATCTGCCATTTAAACTTATGGAAGAGGATCGATAAACAGGGTGTTTGCAACGAACGTCTGAGTAATCGATTCTTTATCATTGTTTTAAATGCGGAAAATATTGATAATCGATCTCTCATGCCTCACCACTGTTATTGGGCGGCCAGGAAGAAAATGATTGAACGGGAAGTACCAAAACGGTATTGCCGTTTAATAGCACTTGAGAGGACAAAATCTCATTATGCCAAGAGACTTTAAAATTCCGAATGCACGGATTGATCATTTTTAGGATTTACAAGAAGACAAAAACAAGAAAAAACATCGTCCTCACCAAAATGGACGATTGTCTCGGGAAGCAAGACGCGTTTTCTTCCATTAAATCAGTCATTATTTTAAGTTTTATGAAAGTGTGGGTTGAGGCACGTTACATGCCTCGATTTAACCGTCTAACCGAGCAGAGTTACTCCTCCTCATTCATCACCTCACACCCCACTTGCTGTCACCGACTTACTACGGAAGCTTTTCTTGCTCATCTGATACTTTATCCGATTGAAGCTGTTATTGATTTCCAAGTTTTGTGATTAATTGCAGCAACGTAACGCTTACCTGTCGGCTTCAATTACAAGATTTTCTAAAGTTTTAAGGCCCAATTAGCCTGTTAACAAGATCTAAAGTAAAATGCTTACAAGGAGACAAAAAACAATCTCACAGATAAAAACATCATGCATAAAATTCGTATTTGAAAAGTATGACCATGTTAAAAATATACAGTATGGAACCTCCTAGGGGAAAGAACTGTGTAAGGAACGATTCTAAGGACAGCCCTACCCATAAGCAACGTTCGTTAACTAATAATGGACCACTAGACAAGGTACGAATTTTAGCATTCTGATACATGTTTCTTTACCAACATTTCACGTAGAACACGATGCGCCCAGCAAAAATTACCGAAATCAACTCCTTACAAAGATATTTAATGATTCTTGATGTGTGAAGTCAAACCAACCGCTCATGAAAACTCAATGCTCTACATGATTCACATCGCGCGCTAAACATTATCATGACAGTCTATGCGATGTAGAAATCTGGCACCCTCAATCTTGACGCTTTGGCTCAGCTATAGTAAATTGCTAATAGTTTGAACAACGTATGGTGGGAAATGAACATTGCTCAATTGAGAAGCTCGCTGAAACCGATGTAGAGCGTGATTTGACTCACAAAGAGCTTTGACTTTCTTGTGAGCGGGCAGTTCAAATTCCTCGTAACCAATGTGAAATTAAAACGTTAATATCTTCGTTAGGAGTTGGTTTCAGTAATTTTCGTTGTGCGAATCCTGTTCTACATATAAAATTCTGGTTAAAAAACGTGTATCAAATCGCCTAAATTCGTACCTTGTCAAGTGGTCCATTGACACTCTCAGCTCTCAATCTAATTATTCTTTTTATATCGCGTAATTTATACACCTTCAGAAAGTGAGCGAGTTACAGCGCACGTAAGTACTCCTGCACTACAAAGTAAGAAATTGCGACATGATAATCAGCCGCAGGAAAACGGCAAGGCGGCAATAAGTACCGTCTCTCTTACAGTCGCGCCGAAAACGGAGGCCTTGGGTGCGACGGGTTGTGCATACCAAAAGTTCACCGGTGTGCAGTGCATGTGCATGTGCTCGCTAGCGCGGCGTCTAATGAAGGTCGTTGAAGAGCTGCGGGCATTTTAATGCCCGCTGTGAGCTGCTATTTCGAGGCTTCGAATTTGACGCTCGTTTTGTTTGTCTTCGTCTATGGCGCGGGGCGCTCGGAAAGGTGGAAATTAAAACTGCATCTCGGTGTTTTCAGCCGTTCGGGTGCGTTTAAGTCTCCGGCAAACAAGATGCCGTCATTCGTTCATCAGGCGCGCCGGGACTTCATGCGCACCATGCAAGTGAATCTTAGCTACTTAGGTGTCGATCAGAGGTTTGAAATCGTCCATGGAAAAAAAAGACATCATTGTCCGTCCACAGGGGTGGACTCAAAATTAAAGTTGTCAGTGGAACGAGTTTCATCGGGTTGGGTCGAAAAACAACCCCCTCCGCCGTGCACGGAGAAAAAAACTTCGTGCGTGGGACCTGAAGTTGAGGTCATATGGATCTCTGAAGTTTTCGGATCACGTATCTAAAAACCGGAGGTCCAGCTGCCGGAGTTCGGGTCAGACATCTGAAGTACCTAGGTACATACCGAAGGGTTTGGGTCACACATTTGAAGTATCCGGTACATACCTAAGTACCTCAGATGTCTGACCCGAACTTCGGCAGCTCGACCTCAAGTTTTCGGATGCGTGATCAGAAATCTTCCGAAATCCATATGACCTCAACTTCGGGGCCCATGCACGAATTTTTTTTCTCCGTGTAGTCTC